TTGTTCGGCTCTCCTCTCGAAGGTTTCGAGTAAGCAGAGGGACGTCGTTCTTCAAACAAACCCTCCTCTGCGATCCGTGGCGGCGTGCGGTTTTGCGATATCGATAACTTTCGGGGAGCCGTTACTAACCTAGTGGCGGATCCTCTCCCACCGCGCTTGTAACCTGCTATCATCGAATTCGAACCGCATGCGCTCCATCTGGGACGGACGCCTCCTCGTCGGTCAATAGAAATAGTGGGTCCCACACCTCCTCAGCGTCACTTCTCATGGTTTGGACGGGCGAGCAAACAGGTGGCGTCCTTTCATAGGTCTGTTGAAGGACGTGGGACCCATGTCTTCCTCCAATAGGAAGGCAGTCTCTAGCGACCGGTAACGTGCCGAGAGCTGACAAGTCAACCCACATGTCAGCACGAATTTTAAAGTGGTGTTCTTCTCTTGGTCGGTTTGGTGCAACCAATTCGGTGAAAGCGAGCTTTGCATCTAAAACCGGCTCGATCCAATCTTTGTGGGAGCCTAAACGGGCTGATCAAATCACATCCTAACCCCGGTCGATTAGCCCATTGACATTGAAGTTTCAATTGGGCCGAGTCAATGGGCTGCCCTACAACCACTACACAACGTGAATATCCAATCCATATCGAGCACAGACTTAATGAGTAATTTCAATTACTCATTCATGAATAAATAACTTTTCTAGTTTAATTTTTGCCTTATTAGATCGAAATCAACTACCTTTTCTATAAAAAACCATACGACTAATTAGCGATAATTAGAAAATATGATATTACACAAGTCAAACCCATAACTAATAACAAAAATCATAATCTATCTACAAGATTATGCGATATATCGAAGTCTTTTTCGACTGAGTTAGGTTAGCTAACACTTTCGATAAAAGTGATAATATAACATGCTTTAAACTCGAACATAAACCAAAGCTTAAAACAATGAAACTATAATGAGATGTCGAGAATGATTGTTACCATCTTCTTCTCTTTCTTCCTTCAGAAAAAGTTGCACTAGCTTTGTGTTTCACTTGCATCTCTCGACTCTATGGGTTCTTAAATATGGAGACCACCATCGATTCCATATATTAATTTATGGGTAAATTAAATGACTTCATTATATTCGACCACTCACTAACTTAAAAGTTAGCCCGGAATTAGATGTTAATTAGGAGATTTTGTTGTATTTTGTTCTTGTTGCTTTTGCTAATTCCGTGTTTCACGATTGTAGTGGGGGAGTCTCTAGAGAGATGCCATGGTCCATTAACGCGTGGTTAGGGTACATCTCTCCATGGAGTCACGTCGATAGTAACTACGGTGAAAGCCAAAAGGTGAGATCAAACAGAGGGTCTTTGACCATGCATGAGTATGGGGCATATTCTATTATAAATCAAATTTAAAGAATGATGAATTCTCCTGAAAAATTCGACTGAGCTAGATTAGCTAACACCTTCGATGTGATCAAGCTTGTTATAGGATTAAATGAGAGTGATAATATAACATGCTTTAAACTCGAACATAAACCAAAGCTTAAAACAATGAGACTGCATTAACTCGATACTGATAATGAGATTCCGACTCTTCGAGTTCTTAAATACGGAGACCTCCACCAATTCAATATATTAGTTTAGGGTAAATTAAATGACTTTGGTATAAATTCTGATATGGTATCACCTACGTGGACTCAGGCAAACAGACATGACGATGCAGACGTGGAACTTCAAGTCTGATGTGGCGCGTAGCACACACTTGACGGGGAACCACTCGTTGCCCCTCCGTACGAACGACATCATCACGGTATAGTTGTCCCGGAAAGCTCAGGATGGCATCGCGTGGCGTCGATTCGTGTAGGTCGGTCGGCGCTCGCACAAAAGCTTAAACCGATCGTCTGAGAAGTCAATCGTAGTTAATTGATTATGTACAACCAACTCATCCTCGTAGGTATAAAAGCTAACCCTCCTTGATCAGAAATGCAAGACACTCAACTCCCCCTAATTCCACAATATTAACTTGAACTTCGGAGAGGTCGAGTCAGGAAATCCCCCTCTCGACCTCGACATATATGCAGGAACCGATAACGAAGCAGTTGCAATCTGTCGAGAGAGAACCATGCTCGAGAGACGATGCTTGGACCTAACCTGACCTGACGTTAACATGATATGAGCATCCGTGTGGACAATCTTGTGCATTTAGGATTGGACTGAACTGACACCTCGACCATAGCTTAAAGATTCACCAACAAATTCGACCACTCACTAACTCCACGTAAAATGTCAATGATAAAAGTTAATCGAACTCAAGTCCGGAATAAAATGTTAGATCATTGGTTAAGGAGCTTTTGGTGTATTTTGTTCTTGTTGCTTTTGCTAATGCCGTGTTTTACGGTTGTAGTGGGGGAGTCTGTAGAGAGATGCCAAGGTCCATTAACGCGTGATTAGGGTACGTCTCTCCATGGAGTCACGTCAATAGTAACTACGGTGGAAGCCAAAAGGTGATCACAAAGGGGGTCTTTGACCATGCATGAGTATGGGGCATATTCTATTATAAATCAAATTTAAAGAATGATGAATTCTCCTGAAAAACTCAGACATCCCATATTTTATATTTAATTCGTAATGAATGTTCCTATTTGTCATAATACCTGAAATATTTGTCTTTCGTAAGATAAATAAAACAATATTTGGTTTACATCTTATTAATAATCCTCCGTATATAAGATTTATATTGTTAGTTATAATATTATTAATAGTTTTATAGTATTTTTTATACTTTCACTAAAACACTATAATCATATTTTACATATCCACCAAAATAACATAATTAACTAAAGAATTAAATCAGCTTAGTTTACGGATCAATAGACACATCAGGGATTATAACAAATAAATTGTAGTGTTTAGTTACATCTTATAAATAAGATTATATTGTTAGTTATGATATGTTTAATAGTTTTATAGTATTTTTTATACTCGAAAGAAGGATTTTTCTCTTGGAATTCGCTAATATTTTTTTAAAATAAATCAATAATACGAGGAACACATGCTTTAAGATTCGTGTCCGTGTTGTTAGTCATGCATGCATCTCAATACAAGTCTTTACTTCCGTTCTCGTCTACTTAGAACTCTCGCATGATATCTTGCTGTAAACGTCGACTCCACTCAAATATTCCTCGTCGTCAGCATCAACAAGAGACATACGTGGCCATGAACTAAACCCTTTGATCATCGACATGTCGATCGAGTCGAAATGTAGTAAGTAGGTAGGTGGACTCTCCTTCCACCTAACGAGTCCTTCCTTACAGGTGTGCAGCGTCTACAATTTGACCCATCACCGCAACGAGACAGTGGTTTTGTCTTCGCAGTCTCTTGTCTTTTAATGTCGTAGTCTCTGCCTTTGAATGCGACTTCATCCGTCCAAGTGCATACCCTTGTTGCCTTGCTTAAGAAGTCGATCGAGATACTTCAAGACATTAAATTGCTTCACCAGCAAGATTACCAAGTTCTTCGTGCCCTTACTATGGCTTCCTTTCTTAGGTTTTTTGTCTGTGAAAGTATATATATCGGGAACATTGTGATGGACCATATAGTCTCCAACTTTAACAAAAGCGAGATAATGCAAAGAATGATCAACATCATAGTTAAAGTGGTGGTTGCCTAAATCACGTAGGGTGGTCCAAACATGAAGCTTTATCCGATATATATAATAAGATTGTCCAAACATGAACGATCTTACTCGTTGACATTCTATCATTCATGTGCACCCTTTTTCTCTTGCAATAAGTGCATCGGGAACAAAAGCAGATTGATAGTAACCAAGTTGACTGATTCATGCAAGTTTATTATTGCGAGAGAAAGAAAGAGGGTCCACCTAAGATATGGGGATTTGGTGATGGGGATGTGAAAATGAATGAGACCCAATTAATCCGAGGGTGGAAATTGAAATGGGTTTGCCCCGTCTCTCCACACCTATAAGCGTGGATTCCTCGACGTGGTTAGCCATGTTGATGTTGAAGAAAGATGGGTGGCCAAGTGTGGTAGATTTGATTGGATGTTGACCGAGATTATTAGGGTGATCATGGGTTGGTGCCCACTTTGGCTTTTTCATCTTTTGTAATCAATGTAGATGGGTGGGTGGGTGGGTTTTCACAGTGAAGAGAACAAGGAAACATAAAATAAGCAAAGAAATAAATCTTTGTTCCTTTAGTATATGTATTTCTCATATATCACAGTGTTAATAATTATTTATTATGTCTTATCATAGCATGATATAGTTTCTCTTTAACATGTTGGCATAGATTATTTTAGTGTTTTTGATCCAAGTAAGAAAAAAAAATACTATATTATCTTGTACTTGTTGACTCCCAAACTCTCACCGGTAGTATTATGTACTTGCATGGATATTAATTACTTGCATTGATATTATGTCGTTTGGGTTGACGTGGATGAAACAATTGTTCTTTGATAGGTCATTAGATACTGGTTTGTCGGACTGTCGTTGTAGTCGATTCTCATACCCTTGTATGCACGCTTACAGTGAGTGCAATTAGACGACATTGGCTGTTCATTCTGCACTTGTCATCGATGCATTCACATTATGGAGGAGGAGCGGTGGGCAGAGAGAGAAAGAGAGGTCATTGCATGCGTACTTTAATGGCTCAGCAAGCATCGGCTTAATGGTTTAGGAGAAGTGTCACTTCGCTGGATCTTCCCGAAATCTCATGGCCTGCAGCTGTAGTTTACATTTCACATCCGTTCGGTTTCCTCTTGGAAGCAAGACACGGTGCAAGTGAGCCCGTGGCATTAGTTCATCGGTCCACCTCACCGCCACCGTCACTTGCCGAGGAAAGCCGGGACAAGCGGAGGGCAGAAGCCACATGTACTTGAAGAGAGAGCCAACACCTCATGTGCACCATGAGCTACAGAAGCTTTGGATATGAGTGGATAAAGGAGAAAAGAAGGTCGCAGATGAGGGGAGGAGTGAAAGGGAAAGGGAAAGGGAAATGGAAAAGGAAGGGCAGCGGTTAATGAGATCGCAAGGAGTGGGTGGGGTGTGAAAAGGGAGGCAAGATCACACACTTGGTGCTTTTGGGTAATAATTTCATGTACTTGTTGCACCCTTTCCCATGTGAATCCACGCAGTCATCTCCCTCTTCCTGCCTCCTCTTCCAGGAGATAGCTGGTCTTTGGCCCTTCCTTTTCTTTAGTGCAGGGGAGTTAGGTTGCTTCCTTTTGTCATCGTCTGTAGTCTACATACATGTTCGTGAGACTCGATCTTATTCTCATCCCATATTCTCACCACAAGCCCCATCAACACCATCACCCTGTCTCTTTCTCGTGAAGAAGAAGAAGAAGAAGAAGAAGAAGAAGAAGACTATAATATATAGAGGAGAGAGAGAGAGATAGAGTGAGTTGAAGAGGGGAAGAAACTGAACGAAGCATGGAAAAGAGCAGAGAGGTGGAATTGTGCGACACCGGCCTCAGTCTCGAATTGGGCATCGGCGGAAAGAGCACCACGTGGTCGACGGATCATCGATCCATGGCTCAGAGGCAGGCATCGCTCACGTTAAGCCTCTCCGATGAGGGATGCGGGGGCGAAGCCGTGCAGGAGGCGGAAGCTTACAAGGGGTGCGTGGAAGGTGGTCAGCTACGACCGTCATCTCCTCTCAGTCACAGCACGGTCTCGTCGTTTTCCGCTGCCTACCCTCAGACGATCAAGAAGGAGAAGGAGGTCGTGGGAGGTGAGGAAGCGGAGGTAGAGCTGGCCACCTTTCGAGGAGCACGCGACGACGATAACGATGGCAGTGGCAGGAAGAAACTTAGGCTCACAAAGGAGCAGTCGGCCATGTTGGAAGACAGGTTCAAGGAGCACAGTAACCTTAATCCTGTGAGTCCCAAGAGCTGTGTTCTATGAAACATAACAGTCTCTCTCTCTCTCTCTCTCTCTCTCTCTCTCTCTCTCTCTCTCTCTTTCTCTCTCTCTCTCTCTCTCTCCACTGACCATTGACCGTCTTTTAATTCGATGAGCATGCAGAAACAGAAGCATGCCTTGGCCAAGCAATTGAATCTTCGGCCACGGCAGGTGGAAGTATGGTTCCAGAACAGGAGAGCAAGGTTTGTGTCTGTTTCTCGTGTGTAACACCACGCACGCACGCACGCCCCTTGAAATCACACACAACTTGGTTGATGTCATTTGGATCATCATATCTAACGATCGCGTGACACCCAGGACTAAGCTGAAGCAGACGGAAGTCGACCGCGAGCTCCTGAAGAGGTGCTGCGAGTCGCTGACCGTCGAGAACCGGAGGCTGCGGAAGGAGCTGCAGGAGCTGAAGGCCCTCAAGTTCACGCCGCCGCTCTACATGCAGCTTCCGGCGGCCACCCTCACCATGTGCCCTTCCTGCAACAGGGTTGGAGGCTCTGCCGACAGCTGCAACAGCGGCGGTGCCGAAGAATTCGCGGCGGCACCACCAACTCCTCGCTTCTTCAATCCCTTCATCCATTCGGCAACATGTTAGCTAGCGTGGGAAGACTCTGCTCCTCGCACCCAGTACCGCATGCATGACCCACCCCCACTCTTTCTTCCTCGGGCTTTGGGAATAACACTTGATACTCATGCGCCAATTCTCTCTCTAACCTGGCTTTGCCTGCACGAAGATAGAAATCAAGAAACTCCGCTATAGTTTCCTACGGTAACCCCATGTATTTGACTGTAACATCGAGTATAAATAATCTTTCTTGTTCTTGCTGTCCACGCTGGTGGAAGGAGGAAGCAAGGAAGCTTCGTGTTATTCTGTGTCATGCAGAGTACGGGGACGACGCAGGAAGCCGTGACCTTTCCGATGGAGGGAGGCATACACGCTACGTTTTCCTTGCTTCGATGTGGGAACAGTGTGTGTGTGGGGGGTGGCGGGTGGGGGGCGGCGGCTCATGTGACCGTTGTCCGGTGATTGGGACCGAAGATGCGGAGGAAAGGAGGGAGAAGAAAGCGTGTGGGGAAAGGCATGAATGAAAGTGAGAAATCATGGATGGATAAGGCATTCATACCTGATTGATTGGATGACTGTGGGTGGGTCACACCCACGTGACGTTGGTCCCACACGACATGAGTCTCGGTAGAATTGGAGACCACGAAATAAGTCGTGGTTGTCTTTTCTGGGCCCCACTTATTAAACTCAATTAAAAAGCTTCTATCGACAATTCACAACGAAGTTTGATTTGTTGATTGTGTCGTGTAATATATGAACAATTATTTCTCATGATTTAAATCACGTTTAATTTCTTAAATGATAATTCCTATAACAAGTAACATGTGACGTATGGTAGAGAAATGTAGTTTGATAGCATAAACCTATAAATAGTTGATGCAGCATAACTTGATAACTAAGAGTTTAATCCATAGGGTATCTCCAGAGAGGAATAAATTTGCACGGCTCAGACTTCAACTCGCCTGCGAAATAGACAAGATGTCATATCAACTATGATCCATCATGCATCTTTGCCATATCATGTCTTCTACTTCATTCCCGAACCCTAACCTACAACCTCCCTGTCATTCCGCACTCCCCTCCATCTCGTTTATGATTACTTCTTCTCCTGCTTATGCTGACAACAAGTTCTCAGGTCAGAGTAGTTCGATAAGACAGATATATAAAAATAAACAAAGCCAGGTGCATGAAGAAACGGGAGGTGCACGAAGAAATGGGATGATGTAAATTGTTGCACCTTTATACCGTGGTCGAGCGGTCAGCTCGATTCGATCCTGAATGTTCAAGGGTGCGTGACGTGAGAACTTTGGTAGTCGAGATAGACGTTGGGTTGGGTTGGGTTGGGTTGGATTGCGAATGTCATCGCATGCTTCTGCATCGCCAATCCTTGCACTCAGGTCGAGGTCGGGAGGGAGGTTTTTTTGATCCGATCCTTCTAAAGCTTTAGTTAACTTTTGATGAAAAATGAGAGAGAGTTGAGTGTTTGAAGTCCCCTCTTATTAGTAAGAGATTTGGCTTTTATACTTGCAACAGGGCGGTCAGTCGTACGCGGTCCTTTAATAACTGTCGACTTCTTGAGAGGGTGACTCATACCTTGCAGTCGAGCCTTGACCAACCCGTATGGGTTGGCACCATGCGGCGCTGTTCCGAGTTTTGCGGAACGACCTAAGGGTGTTCGACGCTGTATGGGTCGACGATATCTCGTATTTCGTAGAGCAGCTTTGGTGTGTTCGATGTCGACCTGTACAACGACGAACAACGTGGAGGTCGCTTGGTCATCATGTTCGGGTCTGAGGTGTCATTTTTCGTCGGTTCGAATATCCTTTGTCTGCTGCTATGTGGATGGTACCAAAATGCACCATATCAATGTCACTTTTGGTTCACGACCAGTGGAACACTAATGGCAGGAGTCTCGTCAAATAATGGAAGAACGAGGAGACTTACAGGATTTAGATCTTGTATGGGCAGTGCTGGTGGTTGATCGGAACACCACTGCAAATGAGATGAGCTAATGGGGATGGGAGTCTGGGAGGAATGCGGGGGTGTCTTTCTATCGCCACTGGAAAGCTAAATCCAATTTGCGTGTGCATGGTGTTGCTTTCCAGTCCATCTCCCTCCCTCGGCCTCTCTCTACTTCTCAATGTTCTCATTGATAGAAGATAAGATTTAACATGTTAATGTATTGAAGCTTCTTCATTTCTTCAATAAAGCTTCTTCAATAAAGTTTCTTCAATAATTGTTCTTATCTTCTATTATTTTCATCATGATATCAAAGCAGTGAGAAAAGCAAAGTTTCGCTCTTGCCTTTGGCCAACGACCAACGTCGTTGAGAAAAGTGAAGCTTCGCTCTTGTCTTCAGCCAGCAACCAACGCCACTGCAGCCACATTCCTAAGAGGCTCTAGCAATAGCAATCGCAACAGTAGCACTTTTGCCCTATTCATGAAGTCTCTCACTTGTAAACCATTTTTTGTATCAATGTATCAGGAGCACCATCTTGTTGGGGCATGATAGAAGATAAGATTTTCCCAACTATATGAGGAAATCTCTCTATTCTGTTGAGAAAAATCATCTATTCTGTTGGGGTTTCTCGTGAATTCTCGTAGAATTATTCTACTTATTCTTCGTATATTTTGGCGAGTTTGATGCTCGGGAATGGAGGAGTTTCCCAGCCGGGAGGCAATCCGTGGGGAGGTTTGCTGTTCACCTCTTCCTCTACGGCCAGACAAAGTAGCTGCAGCAGATGCAATGGTAGCAACTCCCTCAACCGCATACTGCAACCCCATCAACTCTTTTCTCATCAGCGACCACCACGAAAACCCCAACCTTCTCCAACCCAAACCCCAAGGAGCTTCCACTTCGCGAATCCCTCAGGGCGACGATCACGCCATCAAGGCCAAGATCATCTCCCACCCGCAGTGCTCCAGCCTTGTCTCTGCTTACGTAGAATGCCAGAAGGAACACATCATCTCCATGGTCCGAGCTTCCTCTCACCGCTTCCTTCTGCCAACAATTCTCTCATCACGTGCTTGCAGGTGGGAGCACCACCAGAGGTAGCTTCTCGGCTGTCGGCCGTTGCTCAGGAGTTTGATATGAGACTGCGAGCGAGTTTGATCTGCCGGGATGCAGCACCGGACTCCGAGCTCGATCAGTTCATGGTGTAAACTCGATCTCCCTTATTGACGTTGCCTTCCATTTCCTATGCCACGTGTTTCTTTGCCTGATGGGTTGTGATAGGAGGCGTGCCATGATATGCTCGTCAAGTACGAAGAAGAGCTGTCGAGGCCACTGCAAGAAGCCATGGCGTTCCTCCGGAGTGTAGAATCTCAGCTCAACTCCATCTCGGTCGACGGTGGCTCCCTTCCCATAACATCTAACGGTAATTAAACCTTCATTTTGATGGAAAAAGTAGTGAGGTCAAAGCTTTACTTGGAAGAAGGGGAAGTCGAAGAAGAAACAAAAGCAATGTTGATCACCAAAAAGACGTCAGAGGAATTCATGCACACATAAATATTGGGTTTATATTTACTTCTCCCAAACCTTTCTCCATATGGAAAAGTTGAAAGCGAAGGTTTAGACTTTGGGTTTGGGACTGGTTGAGGCTTCAACACTGCAATGCCGAGGTGCGCTCCGGTCGTATGTCAGTAAGCCGAAGTACGTGCAACTTTACGAGGAGAATCCCTTATTTCCCGCAACACTGAATGAAAGATCTGCACAGGCCGCTTTTATTGCATTAATGTTACTTAACCCATTTCTTTTTGGCCTATAATCTATCGAGTCTTCCTCATGATTCTGAACAATATAATACTTGATCCAATCGATGTATACACATGTCTTGAAAAGTCATTTATCTGGTAGAAAAATGTCGTAAGGGAGGAAGCCCAGCTGAAAAGATTCATGAGAGAGAGAGAGAGAGAGAGAGAGAGAGAGGTTCTAAATGTGTCGGGTTTCAAGGAGAACATCTTGATCCCCATTAACCTCAAGAACAACCAAGTCATCCTTGGGGGACTGTACATGCTCCATCTCATGTGATCAATTAACCAGACAACTCTTTCCGCTTTGTATGATGTTGTGGTAAATCTACCAAAGTTTTAAGATGTCAACAGCTTCATTAATTCAGACAGCACACAGTAGTAGATAACATCTTCCTATCACTGTTGATTTGCTGTGTGTCTCACTGGTTCTTGAAATGACATGAGAAAACAACCTATTTCTGAGGGCCGGCTCTCTTGCCTTGTAAACACATTGATGGTAACAATACAAATTAGTTTGAAGATTTAATTCCTGAATAAACTACTGTGCGAGGAATAGGATCTCTCCAATAGAATGACATTAAATTTAGTTTAGAGTGCTTACTTTCTCCTAACTAGCTTTTGGTATTGCACTGTGGCTTGCAATGCATGATGGGACCTGATGACCACATGAAAAGAACTCTGAAAGCGATCATCAGGTCAATTTCATCCTGCCCAGATGCAATTATATTTGACATAATCCTTAATCTGCACAAGGCAGGACAGATTTGCTAACTGTGCTTCCTGATGAGTAGAACACAAAGTTCTTGCATTTGTTGTTGTAAGCAAGCTTATTATTCCACTCGAATCATACTGTATTGTATTGCGACATTTGTTCTCCCAAACCTTTTTCCTGGATACTAATGGAAATCTTTGCTGACTTGTTCTTCCTGAAAATGACACCGAAGAAATTAACTTCAATAACTATTCTCTTGCATTCACATATTTTGCTAGTTTTTCCGGTTTATTGTCAAACCCTCTTACAAGATGTCACACATGAACACATCCATTGTTAGCTCCTGCCACATTGATATGGCAAATATATTTCAGTAGTGACTGTGGAGTCTATCGGTGTGTGTTTTCTCTTGTTTGGTTACCAGAAGAGAAGTTTGGAGTTTATCCCGTGGAAGAAGACCAAGAAGGCAGTGATGAGGAGATGGACATCCCCCAGCTTGGCCCATGCACTGAAGACCAAGAGCTGAAGCATCATCTTCTGACGAAGTGTGGTGGATGCTTGAGCAGCCTCCTGCAAGAGCTCTCGGAGAAGAAGAAGAAGACTGGTGGGAGTTGCATTACAAATGGCCGTATCCCTCGGTAAGTGCTCTTCTGCTGCTTTCTTCTCCATGAGGTGATAGTAATGTGCTTGCAAATTTGAACACCGGAGTTAGCGGAGTCCACCGGACTCGATATGAAGCAGATCGACAACTGGTTCATCAACCAGAGAAAGCGGCACTGGAAGCCATCGGAGGAGATGCAGTTTGTGGTGATGGATGGGTTCCAAGGCCCAAGCGCTGCTGCTGCCTCCCTGTACATGGATGGGCACTTCAATGGCGACGGCCTGTATCGCCTTGGTTTCTGATCTCTAACCACAGATACTGATGATGTCTTCCTTAGCGATTAGATCGAATACTCTTTGATCTTCCATGTTGTCGAAGACTGCATCGTAGTTTTGAGTTGTACTTCTTGTGTTGCTGCTTTCGGTTTACGTACGAACTAAGCTGCATGATACAGTTGCATGATTAAGTCGACTTCCACGTTGACATCAAGGACGTCGATACAACGGTCATACCATTGCCGGTCAAATAAAAAACAAGTCCGAGTATCTCGGTCAAGGATGTCGGTCTACGTCCATCTAATGCTCGCAGAAGTTGATGAAGGCGACATTAAAGTGAAAGGTGATTGATAGGACGAGGACAAGGCTTGCAGAATACCTATTTGATTTCGGTGATCATCAAGTGACGATCGATTTTATGGGGACTCGGTCTCAGCAGTAAATGGTGGGTTCCACCACAAGATCCATCACTTCGCAATGCGTCTTATTTGTAGGACCCACCACTGCTACATAAGTCTTTTGAACACCACAGGTTTCCGAGATGTAATCACCGGTCACACACAATAAAGAGTAGGATATGTATATATATATAAAGCTTCCTCGATATAGCAGAAACTGATATCTCATACACACACAATGGAGAACGTAAACTGGTAGAGACAATACACCACCTTGCTATGTGTCACTGGCGTCGCCTTATTGTATGATTCCTTTCAGCTCGGCACAAATGTGGGCAAACACACTTTTATCTCAGATCCCGGAGAGGCATTCCGGCGGGGGGACTGGGTACCGGGACTTGTCGGTGCAGTAGTCGTAGATCATGTACTGGGTCCTCACCCACCTGTACTTCCTGGCTTGCTCGGGGCTCAGCTGCCGGTACACCGCCCCCTCCCACCAGTTGTTGGGGTTGGAGGCGCAGTTGGCGGGGCCGGGAACGGCGCAGCCCTCGATGTCGAAGTCCTTGTAGTAGGCGTAGAAGGGCGCCTTGCTCCAGTCGATCTTCTCCAGCCCGCCTCGCGTCGCCCAGTCGTCGGCCTCCCAGAGCGTGGAGTACACCCCCATGGGCTGCGCCTTGGGGTACGGTACCCCCCTGCCCTCGTTGTTCTTGTACACCCTAATCGGCACGTCGTCGACGGAGAAACTGAACGGCAGAGAGCAATCACCAAAGCAGCAACTCAAGTTAGAAAAGATGTCATATTTACTGCATCGCGTGAACGGGTGCACATGTCAACCCAAGTCAACCGTCTAAATGTTACTGTAACGCATCGTACTTCTGCTATAGTTGGGTTGGTGGTGTTATATGGATAGATCTATCTTGCACAGCATTCATTAGGCGCATGACACAAGCTAACATGTCCATATCTATTGACATGCCGTCATGCAATTCACTCGTATCTTGGCAACAAGAAGAATATATTCACAGTTGCATGGGGATCAAATGATTCGGTTGCCTTTGAAACGAAACAGAAGCCTTTTCATGCGGTCTCTCCTTTTGGGTACTTTGTTTGGATGCGCACTCCATTTTGATTCTGAAACGTATGACATGAATTTACAGAGAAGTATATATGGAAGGAGAAGAGCTTACACGACGTGGTAATGGTTCCAAAGGATTGAATAGGTGTGGTAGTCTGCAGCGGGATCGAACCAAAGGTTGACTCTCTGCTCGCGGTCGCCCTTCCCATGAGCGTAGATATTAGTCTGCACTGTGTATGGCTGCCCGCTCCGGTTCCCCAAGAACTCGAAGTCCAGCTCGTCACGAACGGTGTCGGTGTCCGAGTTCATCTGCAGAATCCTCCATCGATCATCCCAACCTAATCATACGACGTAAAATGAAGACTTGAAGAATGCTAGACGACCGACGAACATAGAAAGCGGTGACAGTGCCGGCGGAGTCGGCAGGGATGAGCTTAATCTTCATGCTAACGCGGCCGTACTGGTACTGCTTGTTGGAGGCAAACCCACAACCTGAGTCACTCCGGAGAATGAGGAGAAGTTGGACGATGCATATGTACTGCAGTAAGATGTTGGCAAAGTATACAGAAGAGAAGCTGATCTCAGTACCTGAGGACGGGTCCAGCATCAGCTGGATTGCAGTGCCTCCTTGCAGCTGCTTGATGTGAGTTTCTGCCCAGGTGATGCGGAAATCTTGAAGGAAAGTGGCCGGCCGTGCGCCGACTATGGCGACGAGGGCGAGGAGGAAGAAGGTAAGAGACAGTACAGTGGTGCGACCCATTCTGCGCCTCCTCCTACCAGTCGTAGAAGCTAGAAGTCAGTGAGGAGAGATCTGAAGCTGGGTTGCTTTTATAGTGGAGAAAAGGAGGCAAGGGATTGCGATGGCTTCATTAAGATGAAGTGCCCCATGACGGCCTTGGCCTTCCAGCTCACGGCATGCCGTCTCGGGGCCCTCAAGCTTTACGTTCTTCTCATGGCGATGCTATGTTTAACCCTCGGCTTGTCTCGTACGCGTCGCAGGCTTGCTCGTTTTCCCTTAGGACATGGAAGGCGGAGACGGAGATTTATGCTGCTGGCAAAGGGCCAGATGCAGAGAATGAGGGCCGTACGGGCATGGATCGGACGGATGCGTGGCGAGCTCGCGACGAGTGGGCTGCCGGCGTACGCCAGCGGCGCCCAGCGTGGGAGGACCGACGGCACTGTGCGGTGCGTCCCGTTTCATTTCATTTCCTGTTGTTTCATTGCCCAGTCTTTGCGCGACACGTCCAATCGCTGGGGCCCGGTACCGACGGTCTCGAGCCGGTGCTTATCCGACTGGTGACGTGGCGAAAGACTACGGGCGCAAGGCGGACGGCAGCAGCAGTGTGCGACTGTGACTGGGCCCAAACAGGCTCCCTTCTGTCTTTTGAGATCGAGTGGTGTTTCCTCTCTCTTTCTCTCCAAAACTTGATGGTTTATTTATCCCCATAATTTTTAACTGTACAATTATTATATACCAGTAAATTAAAAAGATTATATATATATATATATATATATAAACTGATTTTAGCACCCTTTAATTATATTATGATGGCAAAATCCTAAGAGAACATTATATGTATAAGTTTCAAATTGATAATCAATAATAATCATAATTAGTAGTGATTAACTTAAGCTTGTTAAATGAATATTTAACATGATAAAATTTCTGTGAAGCATCTTATTATTCTAAATAATAGTAAATAATTCGTATTTTATGTGAGACAGTACTTTAAAACCATGATAATACTGTCTAATAATTTTCAGCAAATAAAAAATCTCTCTTTTCTTAAATGAGTATATATATATTTATATATATAAGCCGATCATTAACTTTAAGCTTAGAATTCTAATTAAGTTTATGCAAATGAAATAGGGAGGGGTTTTAGAGAGAGGTAGGCAAGTCACAAGTATTTACCTCTACACAAGTGTCCAAGGAACCGAAAAGTGGGAAGATTAGGACGCATCAACTACCATGTCCTTGGCGGCGTTGCGGATGGAAGATTCCAAGTAGTCAATAATAATAGCCGTTCTCTTATTGTCACATATGAGCGTTTCATCAAAGGAAACGCATCAAAGTAAGTGATGGTTATTGGACATATTGTTTCGAACCTCGATGATTGCATGGGAATGGATGCCTGCCATTGATTGCGTCGCATCTACATGATTGTTGTGTTTGTTAGGCTCGACGATTAGATGTCTCGTGAAGGGCAAGCCATGTGACATGTCCATCCGAAGCATCGAGTGGGTGGCAAAGATGGCATGCATTGCTTTTGATCGGGCTAGATGTCAATATGTGCTTTAAGATCGCGACATCAATATTGATTGATTGATCAGCCCATTTATATCCTGTTAAAGGCTTAGACAGCAGCGTCTAAATAGCGGCCCATAAAGGCTCACTTTGGATCGGCATTCAAACAGTTAGTTCGGCTTTTCTTGACCCAACTCGGTCCGGTAAGTCGAAATAAGTAATCGGATGGGCGATCGCCGACTCTTCTTCCTCGCGATCGCACCGGCAAGCCCGCCGTGCGTGAGCCGATCCCTTCGCCGCTTAGGAGGTGAGGGATCTCGATCCTTGCTGACGTCGAACTGGTGGATCCGCTTTCGTGTTTGATGCCTTTCTTGCCGATCCGTAGCGATCGGTTCTTCTGTTCTTGATTTCGGTTCTTGGGGTTTTCTTCGCGTGGATTTGGTGATCGTGGGTTGGTAATCTTGAGCTTTTTTCCTTTTGTATCTTGAGATTTCGCCATTGATTTCGGTTCTTCTGTATCGTGGGTTGGTTCTTCTGTTATTGATTTTGGTTCGTGGGGTTTTCTTGGCGTGGATTTGGTGATCGTGGGTTGGTAATTTTGTCTTGAGCCTTTTCCTTTCGTATCTTGAGATTTCGCCATTGATTCATCGGTCCTGGCGATCTAGGGTGGTGGATCTTGGTGCCGCTTCGAATCCCATGGGGCAATTTCCAATTGGTTTCCGAAGCTCTTCGATGTCTATACTGTGTCTACTTCAATGATCTGGTTCTTTTCCCTTTCAGCCTGGCCGGCTTTCACCTTGCACTAATCTTGTGCGTCTCATTGTTACACATGCATTGCAGGATTACAGCTTGCTGCCAATGGCTACAATACAGCATTTCTTTGGGATCTCCTTAACAAGTAGGATACCGTTTACCTTTTCGTTCTGTAATCTATGGTAGACATAATCTACTTTCTCCTGTATTCCCGGCAAGATATACTATCCAATGTATTTTCGTTCATCTAAACTTATTAAATCGATCATCACATACTTGTGCAAGTTCTCATTCTGTCTCTGCATCCTCATTTGATCGAGTTGCTCTGAAGAAATAAGTCTTGATTTGAGGTTTTTTGATTGATTTTCAATCATATAACTACATGTTCAAGTTTATGAGGCAAGAATATGAATTTCATGCTCTTGCATTATCAAGCCTTTCCTTCAAGATATTTGGATCTATGGAAGCTTTATCGGTTCATATACATGATAGTAAGCATAAATAAATAAGTCCTCAAGTTATGCTTTTAGTAATAATCCCTTCGAGACTATAATACATAAAACTAAACAGATGAAATGTACTTTGCACTCTTTTATATTTTAAGATTCCAATGCAGAAACAGTTTGGTTGTGCAAAACTAGCTTAATGTTTGGAGCAGATGTACAGTTTTTGTTTTTGCTTCTCTTAAACTGACTAATTTTATGAATTGTAGATTTTCTTAATGTTGATCATTGCCCCTTACCAAACAACCAGGACCGAAGGATCTCACAGATATTGCCAGTAATGCTGGTAGACTGGCAGGATGAGCAATTGCATATGTTCAATTAGTCTGTAGGCAGTTGTTTTTAACAGATGTGCCACCATCTCAGGCTAGCAAGGTACTACCTTTTCTTTCCATTCAGTCGAATTGCCTGGGAACCCATATATATTTGATAACATGCAAGTAACCAATAGACAGCAGATAAGTCTCTTGGAAAGGAATAAATCTTGACCTGTATTCTGCAGTCATTAGAACTTAGCGGTTGTTCCAAATGCAATTCTTTATTACGCTTTTTTGTCTCAGTGTCTAACTTTAATTTACAAGTCATGGAAGATAATGTCATATTCTCATTTAGCCTGTCATGATGTCATTTAGACTTAAAGTCGATACAGTGGGAGTCACTTGATTGTGCATGTGATAAACTAACCACTAGAATGCGCCCTTGGAGACAATTTTGCAGAATTTTGGACTCTTCAATGGCAATTAGCAACTTCAGCCCTCTAGATTCAGTGTTACACATGCAACCTTGTTGTCTAGTCCTCAGAGTTGTCTCAGTGCCCAGCAACTATGGTTCTTGCTTTTACATTTTACACTAGCTATTTGTTTGAAAGTTGAAAATTGCAACTTTCTCAGAATGAAGCGATGATGGTTTCTTCCACCATGTATCATATCACTTTTTCACTGCATAAGAATTTCTTGAGGAAATTTACGTTATAAAACATAAAACAATTAAATTATCAATTTGTTGTAGAAAAATGCTGTTTGGCCTTATTTTCTGATGTCGAGCTTCTGCTAGTTTTTGGGAGAAATTTAAGCTGAAAGACTAGCATTAGTGTTGCTAATTTTCTTTCTGAAAGAGCTCTTGGCAGGAAAAATACTATGTAGAATGATCAATGAAATGGTCTAAAGTTATGAAACACTTAAGAAATAGACTGAACATGTATTTGTTTCGAATTGAGAATAGTTATTTTGTGATGGTCCAGGTGCCAGTGTGATGGCTTGCTTCTGGATATCTCCTAACTTGCCCTTGGCACTTTGGGACACTGGTAGCGAAGATAACTCATGTCACTTTTAGGTGATGACTAAGTCCAATAATGGAAGTGGTTGTGATTTATGTTCATGACTTCCAACACAATTTTATGCTGATTTCCAGTGGCTAACATGACTCTTCATATTTTTCATCTGGATTTGGGATCCTTTTTTGCTGTGTAATATGGAAAAAGAATATAATGAAAAGGAAATATCCACAATGGGTATAAGTAGGAGTTACAAGGACTCTAAAGATAAGGATAATTGATGGAAAATTAACTTAGATGGTTCACTACCTTTACAAATGGTATAGGTGCCAGGAATAGCTATCACATGTATCAAATATCCAGGTTGCTCAAAGAGCCGATACAATGACAAAGTACCTGGAGAATGACAAATCTATTAGATTATTTTAACCAAATGCTTGCCTTGTGTTGGCCAACTATTTCTACTTCTTTCTGAGAAAGAAAGAAGTTTGATATTTAGGTTACACCTCAGGAAATTTGCTTGTTAACAGGTCATTTTATTAACTAGTGAACGGCCAGAATTTCTTATATATGATCCTTCCAGGAAAGAATAAAGCAATGCCATGGAATGTTCAAAATGAATATGAAGCTTGGCTGGCTAGGGATTTTGACTTTAATCAAATATTAGAGAAAAGGAGGAAAGATGTGAAGGGTCCCAATGAAAAGGCCAATATATGCTTCATGGAGCCCCATTTATGTGTGATATGTGGACCTAGATTGGAATTGGTTTCTGAAATAATTTTACCAAGCTGATAATAGGTTCTCTGAATATGGCATTGGTAGCTCTAGAAATGTTCACTATCACAAGTGAGATATGGGTTTGTTAAAATTGGAGTGTCACAATAATTGCGGATTTCTATGATGGATTATATTGTGGAAGCAACTATTATTAATTAATGATGAAGTATAAATGGATAAGGAAAAAAAAAAGAATCATTAATGATTAAGATTAAATAATGTCAACGGCAAGGAATATCATTTTGTTTTTCTCTCTTGGAGTTCCCATGAATTATGACAAACTAGAACACTTTGCATCTGAATCAATTAAAATATCAGAATACATTGTTTTGTCATCTGAATCCTATTGGATCTGGTGTATGTTCATGTAAGCTTGTAATTACATGCCTGTTTGTACAGATTGTAATATCATTTTGGAATTTGTCTTTGGTAAATTGCTACTTACCAATAAAGGTGTTATGACCCTCTAGTTCTTACTGATTGTCTGAAAGAAAAGAAAATAACATTATTTGTTTTAGACAGAGTAGTGTGTGATCAACAATTTTATTTGGTCAAAAAGGGCGTTGATTTGATTATTGTAAATTATCCTGCATAAATTATTGTGTAGCTCATAGTTCCATGCTTCTAGGTGCACAAAGAACTACAATATAGCATTTCTTTATTAGAAGCAAGTTTTTTATGGAAGACAAAGCATATCAATAGTGAACCTAGGTCTATTTCCTCGGAGGATGGATGGACCAGAACAAATGCAGAGCACTGGTATGAAAACAAATTTTGAAGTCTGTCTTTCAAGTTTCCTATCACCATGCTTCTTGGGATTTCTACCATGACAAGGCCTTTCCAAGAATATAAGCAGGCTTCAATATTGCTGTAATATCTGATGGAGAAGAATAAACCAATAGCAATAATCCCTATGGTTTCACTCAATTCAGATAATCAGGTTATCAAGTTCATGCATTGTAGCTTTGCTTATTTCTTGTACTTGTTTCACTCTAGGATCTAAGCAGAGCAAATTCAGTTTCTTATGGTTTCCACAACCAGTCAATGAGATATTCCAGGCTAGCTGAAGCTTCACTGTTCTTCCTGTGTCTGCTGAAACAGCAGGATCACTTCCAAAGCATGGCGGTAAACATCCCTAGTCGCTGGTATAATTCCATGTTTTTATTTTGGTATTGATATCAATATATTTTAGACCCATGCTGTGAAGTTTTTGTAAGTGAATCGTACTAGGTAAAATTAGATTATTTTATCGTTACTGGGAACTCAAAATATTTAGAGAAGTGAATGAAGATTGAGCAATGGGAGCGGGTGCACTGAAAATTCAGCTATTACTATGTTCCATATAGTTGTATTTATAACCTATACACTATGAGTCCCATAGAGAGATGTTGAGAAAAAAAAAAAAAAAGGATTCTCTCCAAATTTTAGTATCACAGAAAAAAGGTGGAAAACTTTCTACCTCAAATTGCCTTTGATATATTTGATAGTTGATGTCTTGGGAAAGTCTTGTGATTCTTCATCGACTTCTGATTGTGGAAACTCGATTGATTGCACACAAAGCACAGTTCCCATGATCTTGAAAGAGTGAATTACTCTTACGCGGAAACGAAACTGTACTTGCATTATACCAGTCTTAATTGATCTAATTATGACTTTGTCTACTGACCTGATCAATTATGAATTTTCACATTTGGCATAGATCGGAGCTGTGTGGAAAATTAGGATTCTGGTGGCTTACTGTCATGGTTGCCGTGTGTTGGCCCTTGATGATATAGATATATTTTCCTATATTTATTGTACTGTACTTATTGTTTCCACTCTGTCATGGTTTTTTAACTACCTCTTTTACTGCATGGTTTATTTTCCTATGTATCTTTCGCTGTTTGCAACTTTAGTAGCTATGAATGAGTCTGGCTCTCCAAATCTCACTATTGGATATTTTCGACATGCTTTTCATTCTCTACGTTTGCACAGTTGTATATGTGGTGCTAAAGTCAAAGCACCAGCGTAGAATTTTCAGTCATTGATCTTCCTAGAGTTAACATGACCCCAATATAGAATGACAGATGAATAAAATTTTTAAAGAATTTTCAGTCTTCGTTAAAAATCTAGAAAGTGTATGTCTATTTATGAATCAATAAAAGGTTATTAAAAAAATAATGAAGCCTAATAAATTGAAGCACGATCTTATTTCATTTTTTTTCATATTTGATCTTATTAAGCAATAAATAAAAAAAATAAATTAAAATTTGATTTTCATATTATGAAAGACGATCGATTAAAAGTTAGGAAAGTTTACTAATATAAATCAATCTTGATGAAAAAATCAAATTTCATGCCATAATACTTCTAAAAATATTTTGGTAAAAACAAATATTTTATTTTTTACAAAATACTTTGCATTCATAATTTTTAAATTATTTAATGTAAGAAGCTATCAATACTTTTGTTGGTACAATATTTAATATTGCCTATGGTTTATCATTCAAATATTCTTGGAATTATATTTTTTACATTTTTTTATTTGAAGTAGACGAGTTGGGCAAACATTTTTTATATTTTCTACAGCCTGGCTCGCAAAGTCTAAGAAGGGCTATATCTTAGGTCGCCCATATATCACGCATTTCTTAAACCCGGCAATAAATAGAGTTTTCAAATAACAAGACAATTGCAACATAATTAATAGCCGTAGACGGTAGTCAAAATCCTATAGGCCCCCACCTATCATCAGCCCGTCATTTCCCCGGAACTAGATCAGCAGCTTCTCTATAGCATCCTGCAATGTCACCGGTGTCAACTAATGCTACCACCATGTAAAATCACGCTAGAAAAAGACGGGAAAGTCGAATGCAGCGTGAATGATTCTAACGATCCGGGCTCAAAAGAGCACAACTTAATACAATCAGCGCGAGAGGGATGGGGAGCTCACCTTGAGTTGCTGAATCTGAGATTTCAACTGGCTACCTTCGTTGCTGGTAACAGAACAAGCTATCACAGGCCTCGTAACTCCGCAAGCTCGACCAAGAGCTTGTTTGGAAGGAACAAAAACATAAGGCACATTCTGGCATTGCGAGTGTTCAAACAGGTTAGAAACTCAAATACTGATTCATTTTAAGCATATATTTGTAGCTAAGATGACAGTCGTATAAGCTTGTGTTCAGCATCAACAACAATATCTGAAGACTTTTTTTAAATAAAAAACATAGTAAAAACAACTGATAAATGGAAATAATGTGCAGCAAAAAAGCCTGGATCCTATCGTGAACATATTCATTCCCTATCTTGTTTTCGATGTTAGACCCTTTGCAGTAACTAATAATCCCAAGAAACAAGGGAATGGAACAATCTCCTTGAAATTCACATGTTTTATAACAGTGAAGAGACTATAACTAAAACCAGCACCAGAGATCACTTTTAACATCTGGAGACTCTAGCTTCAACTGTGTTTGCCAGTTGCCCGGGAATTAAGGGCGTTGAAGCATGCTATTTAATGGTGACAAAAAAGGATGAGCCCAGAATATGCATATTATCCAGATCATCAAGAAAATATCCATTAAAGCATATGCATTTTTGGTGGTCAAATTTTAAAGAATCCCTCAAGGGGTTACAGATGTTGTGCTCACTATGGCTTTAATATGATATGAGTGTCTCACAGGAAACATGTTACTTGTAAAAGCTTCTGTTCAATGATACCAGAAACCTGACAGTTATGTTACATGCATGCATGACTTTTGATTACAATGAGAACGATGCAATGGAACTTAGAATTCTAGCAAATCCGACCATATGCATTCTCATGTCTCAACAACATATCACTATGGTACAGTCTAGATCTACTACAGCTATTTGTGATGGTAGATTTTCTTGCCAAATTATAACATGTTCAGGGTGTCAGCTACCAAGCACAGCACTATGGTTTTGTTTCATTATAAACTTATTTAATAAACATGTCCAAATGCTAAATGCTAAAAAATGAAGAATGCTACTTTACAACCAGTACAGTTTAGAAATTAATCAGCTCATTTCTTCAAGGCTATTCACCATAAGTCATCACGTAAATGGTAACGACAATATCAGAGAATGTTCAACAAAAAAAGGAACAGTGACTAGGCTGTGTTGTGAAATCACCCTACTCCACTGCTTAAACAAGTTTGATGGCAATGAACTCAGATAATTAGTCCCATTGACATGTAGATATGGCCTCTTGCGTTACATACGAACAGTTAAAAGACTGAATCCGCAAACAAACACGTATGTTGTTTCTTTACTTGAGATAATTAATCAAGTCGAATAAAGGTACTCAACTCTTAAAATTTGCAATGTAATACACTAAGAAATGAATTTATACCATAATAATACACTCAAAAGCTATAATGCAAACAGAGGTAAGATTAACAAGCTTAATCTAAAACAAAAAAACATTTGGAACATCAAACACAAAAATCATAATTACAAGGACCAAGGATTATATCAAACTAAACTGACTCCCTCCTGAACAAGCATAAAAAATCATCATGTTGGCCACCTACATTAATATGAATAGATTTGGACTTTCTTAAATTTATTCGCTTCATTGAACCGGTTATCAGATCAACCTTCTATCCAAGTGACCGATCCATCACCACCACACTGTCATATATCATCCATCACTGTAGAATGGTAAACCTGTCATATCCTGCACCCAGACCAACAACAACATACATGGTCTTGGATGAACAATATTCCCCTATATTTTTTGCATAACGATAGGCCTAAAACTAATGAACATGGTCACAGCACAAAAGCACAATCAGCATGATAGGCCACACATGGTCCTCAATCTTTTTCCACCACTGCATCTCGAATTTATATTACTCACTTAACCCTAGTGTCGCCAGCAGCAACCATACCCAAATAACTCACAGAAGAAACGGCATACCTTGTCCTCGGCAAGCAAGGGGAGATGGAGAAGGATTTCGAGCGGCTCCGTATCAGCTGCCATCACCACAAACTCGGATATACCTCTGTTCAGGGTTTTGGTTGCTGGTACAAGAAAAGCAAATCAAGAACGACAATGAATAAACACGCCATCACCATCAAACCCACAGAGAGAGAGAGAGAGAGAGAGAGAGAGCAAATAAACGAAAATGACCTTCGTTAGCACCCTTCTTGAGTTGTTTATAGTTGGCTGCCTGTTGGATCAGATCCAGGATGGTTATTGTCAGCTGAGCGTCGGCCAAAGGGTACGCCTTCGGATTCACAGCCTCGGTGCTCTAATATCAAGATGAAACCGTCAAGACCCAACAAATATAAATCAGAACGGAGAACAAGAATATTGAGCGAAGAAACCACGAAACTTGTACCAAAAGACACCCACGAAACAGAGATTAAATGAAGATTAAAAGGGAACAACCCACTAGAACCCTTAGTAAATAAAGATTAAAAGGGAAAACAAGAACTGCTCCCAAACAACTTCCCCAAACAAGCCAATAATACTAGAAAAAAGGATCGCGATCTTTTAAGAAGAAACCAAGATCGCAATCTCTAGAAGACAGACATCAGAAGGGCAAACAACAATTAGAATCGATCCCATCGAGAATCCTAAGACTACAAGAGGAGGCGGCGGATGAGGAGACGCACCATTTTCTTGACGTGGATTGCGGTGCGGAGAAGCGACGTCACGCAGACAACCCTAAAGCCCTAAAACCCTTCCGCCTCCCTCGGGGGCTTTTATACGTCGGCCGAAAGTGTGCCCTAGCGATTCGCGGTGACTTGTTCCCCTGGAACTTTTAGCGTAATTGGAACCCGTGGGATCAGTGTTATTCTAGCCTCTAGGCTAGGTGGTGGATTTCCTTCCTAAAAGAGCCCCCATCGTTTCCATTATTCCCAACTATGGGGGTCTTACATTTCTTCTTGTATAGAAACTACACAAGATGTGGGAAAGCAGAGCAAAAATAAATATTAAATTTGATAATTATTAAAAGAAAATATTATTGGGATCAAAGCACATTATCATGTCACTCTTATGGAACCATATATATATCTCAACTCCTTTATGAGAAATATGAAAAAATAAATTAAAAAGGACGATTAGAGAAATTATGGTATTAAGTCACTATCAAAAGGAAAACAATACTTCACAACTTATCCAATAGATTTGTTGAGTATTTTTTAGCTTAAATTGATACTGATAATTATTTAGTTTCACATTGGTTAAGGAATATGATCGAATTTCTCTTACTTTGAGAGGTGCCTTTTGGAGCGTACATGTTCCGAAAGGGTAAATCCGTGTGGGTATCAAATCCATTTAAAAAAAATTAATAACTTAAAACTTATTTTTATATATTAATACTTCGTGTAATAAATTTTACATGTCAAACACTAGTCTCGATGTATCAAATGTTAATAGATTAAAATATCATCAAATATATTTTTGAAATCTATTTATCAAACTAAGGATAGAAGGATAACGAGACTCCTTACCAAAAGTTGAAAGAATAAAATATCATCTAATAAATTAGTATACCTTAAATATTAGTTAGGTATTAGTGTAACAAATATACTTATTAACATTTGATATATATAATAGTAGGATTCTAGGATTGAATCTTGTCAAAATTATTTATTTTTACAAAAAATTTAGAAGAGATATATATATACTTAATATTTTTTTTTAAAAAAATCAATATCTTAAATAATAAATAATTATACACTATATACATACATATATATATATATATATATATATATATATATATATATATATATATATATATATATATATATATATAGTA